TTTATATCATCAACAGTACCAGGCCTCCTGAGGTCTTGCCGGGTTATCCGTGCGAGTTCGCACCGAAAACGAACAACAGCGAACACAGAGACCCTAAACCCTATACACTTCCTGTTCTTGTGGGAAGAATCCCCCGCCGGGGCGCGGGGCTTCAGGCTCTCAGGATTTTCTGGGTGTGACGAAGGCAGGCACGGTCAACTCCACAGACTCGCACACACAAAGTTGAAGCTGTTGAATTGCCAACCTTTCGCTACAGACTGCAACGCGCAGGTGCCATCCCCCGCATCCTCCAATGTGGTCGCCTCAAGTCAGAGGTACTACCGCACCGTCACACTTGCAGATTCTTGCTGTACGGTTTAGGGGACGTTTGACATGTGGCAGCATCCAAAACGCACCAAAACCTCCAAAGCACCAATTTCGTCATTGTCAGTCACCAGCTTCGGCTCATTAGACAACCCTGCACAAAAAAAAACACCGCCGATCAGAATCGCTTCGAAGCTTCCACTGCTGCTCTCAGAGTGCCCTTGGAAGCTTCGCTAAGCCGCCGGCCGCTAAGTCCTGAGGATCTACACGGGTCTTCAAGGCTGCCAGCTCGTCCTTGAGGTCGTGTCAGGTGCATGCAGGGCTATATATATATATGAGGACTTCAAGTCACGACAGTCGTTGGCCAAGGGAGTGCGCCAGGCGCCAAACTGAGGGCGTTTCGGGTTTCGGTGCTCGCACTCGGACAATCCAGGCGAGGCAGCCGGGGTTCCGGCTTAAAGGCTTACATATGTTCGGGGTTCCACATTCCTGCAAGCCCGGAATCGGACCTCAGAAGTTGCAGCTTCATGGTACGAATATAGTCTGTATCTGTAAGGTTTTCGCCACGTGGGGCTTCCTGTCTACGAATGTTGGCAGGCTGGCGTGCTGAAAGATCTGAGAACTTGTCGGTGGGTCAGCTCTGAGGGCATTCTACGGGTGCCCTGGTGTAAGGGGTGCTTGTGATCATTTTCTCGGGACCTGAATTACGGTCACTGTCGTTGAACCAAAATAAAGCACCACCTGCTCAAGGCCGCGACCTTCGACATATCACGCTGCGACACCAAGGGAAGCATCTGAGNNAGGGTGTCCAAGTGGTAGCGCTTCACACCTCGTTTCGTGGCTTGGGCTTGGGGTGGGTGTCGGGAGACATCGGCAGTAGTTGAACAGATCGGCAAAAACATATCAGGGGCACTTTTCTCATGACTTCACATCGAAAACGCGCGTCCGAAGAATCGTGCCCCTTTTAGGGCTTCTACAAATCATATAACATGAAAAAGATATGTAAACTCTTCGACTGGGCAAGCGCCGCTCAGATTCTCTTAGTCCTTGACGATGATGCCCTCCTTGCCCGCGATAATGCCTCGTTTGTTGCAAACCCCATTCTTGAACCGGACCGCTAGGTGCTGAACAGCCAGGACGCACTCACCATGCCACACTCTCAAGATCAGGTATTGCAGCACGGAGCTATGTTGTAAACCTACGAAACCTAGAAACAGTGAACCCGGGAGCCCAGACTGAAAGGTACACTTGTGGAAAGTATTGTTATGCCATGTCGCAGGCCGTGGTCATGCTCGTGAAGAGGCCGTGGTCCACAACACCGACCGTGGCCTTCAGCTGCTCACCGGCTGCAACAGGATCGGAAATGGGGCTCGTGAACTTCCTCGGCAGGAAAAATGGACACAACGTGCAAGAGGGAAGAATATAACATATGCATGTGCATATATATTTGTATACATATATCTGTGTGTGTGCATAAACAACTACCTACCTACCTACCTACC